GTGTCTCCTACCAACCAGTCACGGAGTCTTTTGGACCCCAACCTGGAAGGCGCGAGACACATACTTCACCTAATTGCTTAATGCATTTCTTCATGCCTCGTTTCCACATCATCTGTTGACATCCACGTGTTTTCTTCCAACCTGTAGCCGCAACTGCAAATATGGCGCGGTGCCGTAGACGATGGCTAGGTAACCGCAATACGTGTCCTAAGAAACCAAGTTAGGCACCAAGGGCCACTCCCCGTAAAATCAAACGATCAATAAGCCAAACCAGGATGATAGTAACCAATGCCTAAAAACCCTGGCGAAATGGCTTATGGCATGTCAAGACAGCTACTCCATAGTGGACGTATGAGATCTGTTACCCGATCCAACGGTTATCAAATGGTGCTGTCTGAATGGCAGGAATAAATAGATACTCGGATTGCTTGTATGTGAAAATTTTGGGTTATGCTTGGCACGTCGCTTGCACCAAACTCTCGTCTAACTTCGTTATTCTCTTCGAATGTGGCTTATTCCCTCCAAGGAGCTGTGTGTAGTGAAGAAAAAAGGGTTAATCATTCGATAGTCTTACATATTGTATTTCGGTTTATGCTTCGACTGATTATAGCGCAGGGGTTTTGATCACTGTCAACGGCATGCTTTAGACCTTATGGTCACTCGCCACCTAACGTTGATGGTAAACAGCTCTGCTGTTGTCCGGTTAAATATCACGCCTAACCTAGCGGTGCCTTTTATGGTTAGTTACTCCAAGTCTCCGTGCTTAGATTACCGATTTTCATCATTAAACAGCAGGTTTTTGCGACTAAGGGGTCTACTCCATCTGCTGTTCATCGCACAAATATGTGCAATGAAAAAACTGTTCTCGCTTGCAGCTTTTATTAGATATCGTCATTGCCAAACAATATTCAGTGAATTCCCGTAATTATTCAGAAAGTTCTTTTATCATTATTATTTTATTATTATGCACCTGAAAAAGTAAAATCAATAATGTTCTCCAATCTATTCGCACTCTACTACTTTCAGGGTACCAAATGTATCTCCAAACAAAAATGTCCGTTGATGGTCTGGTGGGACCTACTGGAATCGATGAACTGTACTGTGTCTACGGAACCGGATTGGCCACAACCTATCAGATGGTCTACCTACCCCCGACATTTTATCGCAGTCCTTTTCCCGACCAGTCTCCGACCTTGATCACCGGGGACGGAGACGGGACAGTGCACACACGGAGCTTGCAGTTGTGTCGCTATTGGCCTGGCGCACGGTCTTTTGAATGGCCGGGTGCAGAGCATTTACGGATCGTGGGCGACTCACGTTTGATCGATCTGTTGAGCAAAGTTTCCGGGTGTTCTCATCACTAATTCCGTTCTCGTTCAGTCGTTGTTGGATCGCTGTGACGTGTACAGGTTTTGTCGGATGAATGCCTGAAATCGAAAAACAACAACAACCGGAATCTGCTCACGTAACCTGATGAATACTGATTATGATGTACTCCTTATTTTATTTCTTACTTTGAATCAACTGTGACCCCATGTCTACGCACAGATACACACACCCACGGACAATTATTTTCATCGACCGGATAAGCTGAACTATTGTGTGTGGAAATCATCTATTGTACATACCCCACAACTGACTATTTTTATACACCCATCTACTCTTCCCCCTTTCTACTTCATTCATCCTTCCTTTGTCTGATTGTTCCAAGTGTCTGAAAATTGACTGCTGTAAATGATTCGTTGCACACTTCGAGCATTGATTTCTTCGCTTTTTGCTCGCCAAACAGATCGGAATCCTGTTAGTTGAATTTGTTTTGATTTCTCTCTTTTTTATCGGTCTTTTGCCTCGTTTGCTGATCCGATAGTTCATTTTCAGTATGTATCCGGTAGCGATGCACACTCCTGCATGCATAGAAATCACTCCATCATTGTAAAATATACCATCCATTTTGTTAAATTGTTTCGATAAAGAATAGACATTCATCTCACTTTCTTTTGATTCTCCGATCAAAGGTCAGAGAGTAGAGACCGGTGGTCATCGTGTGAATTTGTCATCCTACAATGAAGAGCTCGTGAAGAGGTTCGTATGCACAGTCGGACTGTGTAATTAATGTTTTTAATCATAGTGATTCGCTTTCACTGTTCCCCTTTCCCCTGAGGTCCCCCAATGCGAATCCAATTTTGTCCACTAGTACTCACATTTTTTCTATACTTTGTGAGCTTGGCAATGATCCGAACTTGGTCGAACAAAATGAATGTCCCTTTGGGTGATTTCACTATGAATGGTTATGTGGACCAGATAGTCAAGTGGAAAAAATAGTCTGCAATTTTGGTTCTAGGATTTCAAGGCACGAACCGCATGCAATCCCAGTTAGAACGAGACTGTCGAACCAAACAACTGCGATGCTATTTAGCATCAAGTTGTCTGGCGGAAACCAAGACTGTTTTAAATTTGGGTGATTGCCGTCCATGAGAACAACACTTCGAAACAATAGACGAGATGCTGACAACACACATGATTGGGTTTCGATGTGTCATAACCTTTAAAACTAATGCCGAGATAAGCGATCGTATATATACTCAAAGGTGGTTCGTGTTATACCGTGTATACAAATAGTCAAATCAGCAGCTATCCGATGGGTAGTGTGCATGCGTTCAACTTGTGATGAGGACCCAGTGTCGTGATCCTCATTTGGGTCGGCTGATGAGACAGCAAGGTGGAAAAGTTGTTCAGTTCCCCTTAACCTTTCGGTTTATGTCTCCTTGGTTCGATTCGTTCGCTCTGCTGACGATTTCCCCTAGATAGTTGAAACGACTATTCGGTGCTTCGAATGTTGTTGATTAGCTTTTATCATATAACAACTTCGATTAAAAATAGAATAAACATTTATCAGATCATGATGAAAGCCAGAACTATTTTGTTTTATATTACTTGCCAATAAAAGATTAGATCAAGTAGAAGCAGAGATCGTTGGAGCGAAGGGCTTGTCGCCACAAACTACGAATATTCACCCAAGTTGTTCACATCTCGTTTATTCAATGCAATTTCAATACTGTGTGTTACAGTTTTGGTTGAGTGGCATCGTTTCTATTGCAGAAAGATGTGTTTGAACGGGTTCACGAACTATTAGTTCCGCTGTTCTTGGTTGTATATATATATATATATATTTCATACAATGAGTAACATATGAATGATTGGAAAAAATTTCCCCGGAAGGACACGACCAACTTCTAATCCACCTACAAAACATCGAATCATAGTATTCATTCACCAATGGACTAGTCATGAAAGAGCTGTCCAAACAAACTTACCCGGTATTACAAATCAGGTTATTGCGACACGATATATATGTATATATATATATTAATGTCGTGGATAGTAGACGGATACCTGTTGTTCACGTACGGAAACCGACAACTTAGTCCCCGGACATGGAGTCTCAAACCAGACGACGACCCCCTAAGTTAGCTACAGTATTGAGCACCATGACACGAAAGTTGCCTAACACTAAAAGTATCGTTGATACTGTTAGGATGCGTAGCTTTTTATTTCGATCTTTTTACCGACTGCTGTTCTGGCATCGATTTGCTCCCAGTGGTAGACTGCCTGATCTCGGGTATTCGAACGACATTGTGCTGCTAAGTGAAGATCCAGGTAAGTTGCAATCCTTTCTAGATAACTTGAACGCCAGAGTAGCCATATTCGGTATGCGTTTTGCACCTTCCAAGTGTAAAATGTTAATACAAGACTGGTCCAGCACCGAGCCTCACTCTAACTGGGGAAGTAATAGAGCAGGTGGGCAGCTACATCTCACCTGATGGACGCATCACGAATGAAGTGTCAGCTCGCATGCAGAAGGCTCGTTTGGCATTTGCCAACTTGAGACATCTGTGGTGCCATCGCGACATCCGGCTGTCTGTGAAGGGTCGAGTGTATGTTGCGACATTTTGGCCAGTCCTGCTATAGGGTGCAGAAACTTGGCCATTAAGAAAACAGGATAAAGACAGACTGTCGGTGTTTGAACACCACTGTCTGTGTCGTATTGCACTAGTCTGGCGGGGCAGCAAGCAGAGTTTTAAATAACTGCGATTGCCCGCTGGAGCACGTGGTCCACCTCCGTTGGTTGGGGCTTATGTTACGCATGTCATCAAATAGGTTGCCACGGCGAGCAGGTAGTTGGTGGAAAAAGGTCAAGCTAAGACCTGACACGAGGGTACGAAAACCCTAACCAGAGGACTGGTTCACGGTTCCCGTTAGGCTCCCTGGATGAAGACCTGGGGCTGATCGTAACCGGTGGTTAGAGACACAGTGATATGGCTGAGTGTCGTAAATGGTGGCGTTCGTGCATCTTTTCAATTTCATTGCAACCTTGGTCCACTGAAATTCTCCATTTTCTTTTCGGCTCTACCTTCAGCTTTCCTGTCTTTCTCCTTCTGCTTCATCCAAATGGGCATGCGAAAGTGCGTGATTGATGATTGTATAAACTGAAACTGAAGTGACTTTTGTGGGTGACATCGAAATGTATATGAACACTCTATATGCGTGGTCTAGCATTCTCTGGTCATTTCGACGCACTAAATTGGTACATTTATGCATGTGTATCTAGTCGCGCATACAGATTTAGTAACCGAGTATCACCTTGAACCTTCACGTACGCCCACACACACACACACACACACATGATATATCATGATGAACGATCTGCAAGTGTTTTTAACTCTTCAACTTAGTATAGTCACACGAAACAAAACATCCACAGTGCATTAGTTGCATAATGCCGATGCGGGTAAAAATATATGGCGATTTCCTTTTCGATTTTGACCAATGTTAGACGAACCAACATATCATCATCGTTGTCCGCCTGGTTAATTTTCAATCGTGTGTTGTGATTATTTTCAACCGCAGATCGCAGAAATCTCATTTGTGACCATATTATCAATCTTTGGTCACATGGTCTTTTCAGCTAGACTGTCTATAATTGATATCATGGTTGTGCGTGGTCAGTCATTGTTTATAATTTCATTTCGGACATCTATCTCCTCTCTTGATTCACCGCTCTCCAAACTTTATCTTTATGGGTTCACATTACTAGCGTAACGCTTTATTGATTACATTGTTATTAGTTGGCCGAAATAATGAAATTTCTAGTGCTAGTTACAACATATGTATTTGGAATGGAAACAACTGGGACCAGTTTGTATGCATCTTCAAGACTGCATAAGCTGTGTGTAATCTGGTACTGCTCCCAGCTTTCTGTTTCTCTACTTTACTTCGAACTGGCAACCAAAAAAAAACAGTAACAGAAGTTGCAATGAGAAATCGTAGATAATGGTTGTTTGGACTTATTTACACCTTTACCCATCAAGCTTTGGCCACAGCCTGCAGTCCTTTAGCCTTGACCCGTTATCTTTTAGCCAAAACCTGCAATGCTTTAGTCTCAACGCAAAAACCTTGGTCAGGGAACGACCGGAGTACCGTAAGTGCGAACCACCGTGGCTAATCACACTAGAGTTCCAATGACATGTTTTCACACTACTCAGTACCCCTCTAGAAGGATGGGAAGGAAATGCTCTCGCAAGATCTGATTACACGCAAATGATACTCAGTCAAACACAATTCAGCGGTGAAGTTTGGGTACAACGTTCAAGTTGACCTCACATTCAATCTGTATGGGAATCACGACCAAAATATGTCAGGAACAGTCACCTACTCTTTCGCATACCAAAATTCATTTCTGAATCCTCACAGCTGAACTGCAACAGACAGGAAGCGTTCTTCATACTATTGTGTAAAAACAGATAAGTAGAGGCGCGTTGAAGAAATGACGGATGCGTCGCAATCATGCATACAAATACGTACCTACAGCCAATTACTTTGTTCCAATCGCGAATCTGTTCTGCTGCCTGCCGTATTGCTTACCTAACCTTTTTAACAAACACATCAACTGCGTTCTGTTTCGTTCAGTTCTGTGGGCTGAGCCAGGAATGGGCGAGGTACATTCAACGTGTAACTGGTTTTGGTTGCTAAGCTATTCATGACAGCCCGTCCATTCACCCATGTTCACCTCAAGAACTCCAACCTCTGTCACTGAACACATATTTTCATTCAAATAGGCCCATAATTCTCGTACATCGGTCGGATTGCACCGTAAACCCAAAACTTGTCCCTGGTCGTAGTTAGTGTGGTCAGCTTTCATGATTGTGCTATCGTCAATGTTAGAGCGAACAAACGTACTTTAGCTGTAGTGAGCACGAAACAGTGCATCACCCTTCATGCTTATCGAGTGGCGTTCGACTTGGCTTGGCTTCACCGACCCACCGATTCGACGTCTGTCACAGAGCTCGATAAGATGCACGACTGA